ATGCACTGAATCTGCATCACTACCATTCCACCTATATATATATATATATAGCATCGTTCATTCTATCTGTTGACCCAAAAAGAACTTTTCATTTCAAGTCTTGATTGAAGCTACTATTACGTCAATTCCTATATATCTTCGTGCCAAAAGGGTCCGCCTCAACTGAAATGCCCTGCGCAACAACAACAACAACAACAACAACAACAGCAATGTCCCTTTTTTGCCAAACCACAACGAACCATCTCATAATCAAGCCGTTTTAAATAATACAACATTTTCCAACACCTAATCTATACATACATATATATATATATATATATATATACATATATCACTCGCTCGTAATCACTACTTGTCATCTTCAACTTTCAATACCTTTTTATATAAACGCCTTCTTCTTTGCTCCAAAATCCCCCCCCCCTTATTTCAAATCTTCATCCATCTCATCATCTCTTCTCAACTGCAACATCTCTTTCAATTTATTCTTAAAATTTCAATTACCCTATTGCCTTTTTGTTTGCAAAATATCCCTCTACGAACTTGCTACTTTCAAAGCTCTAGCATCAATATTTCGAAGCTTGATTATGGATGGTGAAGTGACCTAGAGTTGGTTTCCATCATAGAATGCCCAAAATAACTGTTATCTCAACGGAGCCATGCTATCATTAAAAGACATGCATATATAATAAAAACAACTGCATGATGATGGCAAGGGTGAGCACTCTGAAAGAATAAGAGATGACAAATACTAAAGTAAATATCAAGAGCATTGTTGCAATGTTTTGTAATTTAAATAAGCCCTAAAAAGATACATGCTCAATGACGAAAGATAGAAGCTGTTATTCATGTATGATTCACGAAGCATATATTAAAATATTGTTCTTGACCCACAGGATTAACAACTAAATAATGAAGTGATTGCAAGCCACTAAACTGCTGTCAGATGAGAGATGATATCAACCAAATTATATATAAAATAGAGAAGCAAAATATACATTTCATTGCAGACTGTTCTAATTGTGAATAAAGAAGAATTGTAAGAGTGATCCATCCGCTTCTTTCACCCTCCTCTATATTATTGCAGACGATTCAAAAGTTTAAAGTTAGGTACTGTTATAACAAAAAAAAAACAACGTAAACAACACTGTGCTTCAGTAATACTACTTGCAGTTTAACTTCTCACATTGTAAATTTAAAAAGATATCTCTTACATGAAGCTGTTTAATGGATGCCATATTAAACAAATGCACCTTACCTTATTTATGAATAAAGATATAAATTATATCTACTGTGCTTGGATAACATTTTATTACGAATGCAAAATCATGGATCGATACGAAATCAACTAGCTAGAATCCTTTTGAGTTTGAACCTCTGAGCCAATCAAATCGCTTGAAAACTCCGCTGATCTAAAAAAAATTTTGCGAGAGTTTCCCCCTGTTTTGATGTGAGGCAAAATTTTAAACACCGCGTTATATAGCAATAGAGCGGTAGCTATCATCAAATTCCCCTCAGGTGCTAGAGCATGCCTTACTACACCATCTAGCTTTAGATTCTGGCATTGAGACCCTCAATCATCACTAGAGTAAGCAGTGATAACCAAGTGGAGGCAGCCTATCCACCTCCTAGCCTCGGGTAAAGTCTTGTTGAGCTTCAGTGATAGGCACATCCACCACAACGTATTAAAGAGGTATGCTTCAAAGAAACATAAGAATAATAATAAAAAAAAAAAGAAAAGAACATACTACTATTATACTCCTATAGTAGCAGTACGTAGGCAAAAAAAAAAGAAACATTCACACAAAGTGAGTCAAAGAAAGGCATATCACGAATACAACATCAGAGATGTTTCAAAAAAATACATACATGAGCAACGTGCATGATAATAGTCTAATGTAAAGCAGCACAGATACGCACAACTGCAAGAGCAACAGTGGTATGATTGTGCAATGCAACATAATAACTAATGTTGTTTTTATGTGAAGCGACAAAGGCAACACAAATAACAATTCACGGCTATATCATAACAAAGTATCACCAGGGCAATACAAGTATGTAGCAGTGTATCATGCTTGTTGTTCGTAAATGCGAAACAACAACAACATTGCAAATGTTTGTTGAGCTGATCATATCACAGCCAACAAAAGAAAAAGAAAGAAAACGCAACAAAGCAAACATCATGAGTGCAATATCATCGCGAAAAAGGAAGCAATTCAAACGTTCAAAGAAGTTTGGTGTCATTGCGACCAGAAGAACAAAGTTACTTACCACTTGCCATAACCAGAGATTAACCAGAGACAGCAGACCAAAGAGCGAACAACATCAGAGATCACAGAATAACCAAACAAAGGACCATCACCACCAAGAAGTGCACAGCAAGCGCACAGCGAAAGAGCAGAAATGGAGCGCAAACTACAGTATGTTGAAGTACAGTTATAAAACGCGTTAGTATTGTATTCTACTACTTCTATTGTGAAGTTGTCAATCATACGTACTTCAATTTAGGCAGCAAAGGTAGCGTTGTTCATGAGTAAAGGTTTGTAGAATGCAATAAAAAAAAAGGAAAAAATGCTAATAAAAAAAAAAGGATATCGAACTGAGGTTGGTAGCCGTCACTAGCTTTAATATAGCCTAAATTAGGCACTACTATAAACTTGGCCATTTGCCACAGGACAGCAAAGCAAGATGGGGTTTTGCAGTTTTCATTACAAGGTTTGCCAACACCTTACCTATCGATCTACAACTTGTAATTAAGAGGTTATATTTGAAAAAGGTAGTGAATTTTGCGTTCCAATTGAGCCATTCACTAAAGCGGTGGTAACTGCGGTATCTTAAAATATAAATAGCCCAGCCTTCATAATGCTTTGAATGAGAATCCATGGATTTCTGAAATCGTTCAACCTCAATATCAAGCGATTCTGATGATAATACTGCTTTCCAGCTTAATTAAACTTGAGGTAAAATTCAAAGGAGAATCTAACGATACCAGTTTCAGATGCATTGGTTCACGCTAATAGGCTGATTTTTGGCAGTATAGTTTTTGTATTTTTTTGGTTGTTTTTGACAGATTGCCAAGTTTCTGTCATCAAAACTTTGTTTATAGTACTTGCCAAAGTGTAGAGTAAAGAAAATCCTATTGAATGAGCCATTACTTGAAGCTGTAGAATAATTCTATCACGACATATTGAAAATTCTTTACCTTCAAAAAAATTGTCATTCAGATTTTTGCCTTGCTACCACAGGCAAATTTTGGTAAAAATTGATGATTTTGCATGACAATATTTTTTGGTCATATCTCGGGAAAGATGCATCGTATTGAGATAAAGCAAAAACCATTCAATAGCTCTACTTTGGATCTATTACGATATAAAAGCTTTTAGCTCCAAATGCACGTTCCCTTCATGATTTTGCTCAAATACTGTATTTTATCATCTTTAAGCAGAAGATTTGTCCAACGGTCCAAAATAGAGTTACAGTAGCCACCACGCAATAGGGTAGAGAATAAAGACTTGCTTCAAATGGTACTACTATTGATAGTCTATTACTCACAGTTTGTGTTTAGATAGACCTGATTTTTATACATTTTAAAGGTTTTCCAAGAAGAGTAGTATGCACTGAATCTGCATCACTACCATTCCACCTATATATATATATATATAGCATCGTTCATTCTATCTGTTGACCCAAAAAGAACTTTTCATTTCAAGTCTTGATTGAAGCTACTATTACGTCAATTCCTATATATCTTCGTGCCAAAAGGGTCCGCCTCAACTGAAATGCCCTGCGCAACAACAACAACAACAACAACAACAACAGCAATGTCCCTTTTTTGCCAAACCACAACGAACCATCTCATAATCAAGCCGTTTTAAATAATACAACATTTTCCAACACCTAATCTATACATACATATATATATATATATATATATATACATATATCACTCGCTCGTAATCACTACTTGTCATCTTCAACTTTCAATACCTTTTTATATAAACGCCTTCTTCTTTGCTCCAAAATCCCCCCCCCCTTATTTCAAATCTTCATCCATCTCATCATCTCTTCTCAACTGCAACATCTCTTTCAATTTATTCTTAAAATTTCAATTACCCTATTGCCCTTTTGTTTGCAAAATATCCCTCTACGAACTTGCTACTTTCAAAGCTCGAATCAAAGCATGATTCAAAGATGGATAAAAGATAAGGAAAATAAGAAAGGAAAAATCCAAACTAAGGAAAGAAATGGATGTGATGGGGTCTTTTTATACCTTTCGAGAAGGAAATCATTAGGGACGGTTTAATTTGCATGGCAACAATTGAAGATGCGTGAGGAGAGCCTTTGAAAGAGAGGGGTTTCAAGGCTGGAGAGTATTAGAGAGATATATAACAATCAGCTAACGAATGGCACTTTAGCATTGAGTATGATGAAGGCATGCATGAACAGACAGTGAATGGAGCGTTTCAATGTTGAAGCTATTGTCAATATCCAACAGCATCAGTTGGCTTTTATAAGAAGCGAGGAATGAGGGCCAAGGATTTCTTTATGACTGAGACCACCCTTTGACAAATACAGCTTATCATACTGTGAGCAGGTAGCTGTCAATCTTGTCAGGTTCTCCAAGTGTACCTGACCTCTATCTCCTTTCAATGAATACTAACCCTCAGCTGGAATACAGCTTAACTGTATCAAAGTGTTCCATCTTGATCTTCTGGACAGTATCATTATTTCAAGTCGGCAACACCACAAAGGACATGGGTCTCCTAGTCGAACACTTCTTTTAAGCCGCCTCTATCATCTGTTCGTCTTGTCTGTTTGAAATGAAAGATCTACCTTTCAGCTTTCATGCGTGACATTGATACACTGTTTGCATATATGAATTGATTTTATTGAATATCTAAACCGAGAGAGAAAGAGAGGGAAGAAAGAAAGAGGAAAACGCGCATAATTATATCATGTATATATTTTGTAAATGAAGAAAATGATGATTTTGTATTGTACATTTAATCCTCACTTAAACCGACCAACTCCTTACCCATCTTCTTGTCCAAACGACAGATGGGGTAATCCTTAATCATAGCGATATTGACCTTGTGGCCTAAAAGATCACGAATATTAGAGATACCGTACTTGACCATGGTAGGACGTTCAAGACCAAGACCCCAAGCAATGACACGAACATCAGGAGGCAAACCAAGAGGAAGCAACATTTCAGGACGGAACATGCCTGAGTTACCAATTTCAACCCAAGTCTTTAATCCCTCGTGGTAAGAGAAGATTTCCATGGAGGGTTCAGTATAAGGATTGTACGTGGGCTTGAAACGAATCTTGTCCATGCCCATCTTTTTGAAAAAGACATCCATGAAGCCAATCAGATCACCCAAAGTCAAGTTCTTATCGGCAATGACACCTTCAATTTGATGGAACTCGGCTAAATGAGTAGCGTCAACAGACTCGTTACGGAAGACACGATCAATAGAGAAATATTTGGCAGGACGGAATTCGCCAATCTTTTTGGTCTCTTCTGAGAGCTTGTGGAGCATGTATGAACTGACGGCTGTGGTGTGAGTACGCAAAATCAACTTTTGAGCTTCCTCCTCCTTCCAAACGTAGTTGTAACCGATGGATCCAGTATCGCCACCATTTTCATGTGTCTTTTTAATCTTTTCCATCAAATCAGAAGGATAACGATCAGATGTAGCGGGATCTGCATTGTCAAAGTTCAGTTAGTATATAGACTTTCTTTGCATGAATTAAGCTAGACAAACCTTTCAAAAAGAAGGTATCATGAGCATCTCTGGCAGGATGTTGTTGAGGTTGGAAAAGAGCATCAAAATTCCAAAAACTAGATTCAGCAAAGCAGTTGGTAGGCATTTCTTGGAAACCCATCTCAAAGAAAATTTCACGGAACTCTTGACGCACCTTCATCAAGGGGTGAAGATGGCCACCATGAGGAGGAACACCAGCAGCGTCAAAGTTGTACTTTTTGAAGGTAGCATTCTTCCATTCACCACTACATGAGAAAAGTGTTATCCACACAATTTACTCCATCCCGGCCCACTCACACAACTTACGATAAAAGCATATCCGTGGTGATATCAGTAGCTTCCTTCTTGACTTGCAAAGAGAAATCAGGACCCTTTGATACGCTGTAAGTCGTGGTCTTTCTAGTAAAGTAAGAGATAGAATTCAGTGTCCGTTAACATTGCTCTTTTGTATGGTGTGTGAGTCATACTGTTTGTCAATCAAGGTTCTCTTCTTCAATTCAGCAAGTGTCTTTTGGTTTTCAAGAGTACCAGTAGCCTCAATCTCCTTCAATTCCTTTTGGGTGTCGTCTACAATGCTGTCAACCAGACGCACCAAATTGTTACCCTTCTTGGAAATCCACTTGTTCTTGAAAGCTTTGCCTTGGCCAGCCTTTGCTGAAGCACCAAACTTGGCCTAGTAAAATAGTGAAACATTGAGTGGGTATGAGCAACATTTGGTGTATATGATGAACATACTTGGAGTTCGGCAATAGGAAGACCTTCATCACCAGCAGGAATAGCGCCAAAAACGCGAGCTTCATGACTACCATCCTTGGCAACTTGCTTACCTTCCTCGGTCAAGGTCCAAGAAATACGTTCAATAGGAGTAAAATCAATCATCTACATAGTTAACAACCAGTGTGTTTTAGTATCTCCATGTCTGTCTCTTGTTTGATGATAAGCTGCGTATATACCTCCTTGGACTTTAAACTGTTGAGAGCACCGAGAAGGGCGAGTTGATCGACAGGTGCATCATTGAATGTCAAGTCCTTGGAATCCTCAATGGTGTTGGACTTGTCGAGTGTGGTGAGCACAAGAGTCTGCAAATCTTCAGTGCTTGCCATATTTTTATGTAATAAAGAAAAAGGGAGAAGTAGACAAGATTGGACCCGGATGCGAATCACCTAATAAAAATTTACAAAAACAAGCCACCCACTCACTTTGAGAGTTGTGCGCTGACATGAAAGGGGCGGGGTTGCCACTCAACTCTCTCCATCTAGGCCTATCAAACAAGAGGGTTTCAGCGGATGGGATCAGAGTATCGACTATGACCCAAATGCTGTATCTAGCAGGCCATTCTATAGCCCAAGCAAGGCTGCTTCCATGTCATCATCCCATCAACATGGAATGCCTTGATCTATAACTCTGCTACTAAGCATGAAGCATTACTGATGGTCTCTGTACGGATGAGCTTATACGGACTATCAATCCCATACGGGTACTAAAATGTGTTCCTTGTTGTAGAACGTGTGTATTCGTGTTTTTTTTTCTTTCCACCTTGTACATTAATTGACCATGAATAATTCAGTAACGAACAACAAAAGCACTCATGCAAAGAGAAGAGCAGATTCAAATCCTAGCACCAAACGCCAGCAACAGAGACCTCGATTAGACATGAATCAAGCACCTCGTATACCAGTGAGATCCACCTTGGCCAGCCGTTCAAACCATAATTCACCCACTACATCTACCACTCAGCGATTATCCAACATATCTGCATCGTCCATTGCATCTAGTTCGAGACTCTCCAATGCTTCTGTCAACTCTAATTCAAGCAGGATCTCAGCAGCCTCTTCGCCTTCCACTAAATCCATGTCTGCAACAACAAAGGCAAGGAAACCAACGATTGACAAGACAAAGAAACCGATCCCCACTTGGGATACAAAGGGCAGGTTGAATCAGTTGCAAGCACAGCTTACAGAGACCAGCGAAGAAGGTGAGTGGCATCCATGGCTATGCAGCGGCACTGGCAAAACTAAGTTCTATTGACATAGTCAATGAGATTGAGAAACTACAGCAGGATCTGGAATCAAGCTTACAGAGCAAAGATAGCATGTTGAGAGAAGCCATGCAAAAGGTCACTGATTTAGAGCGTACCATCCAGGTAAATAGCTATACAGCCTACCGCAAGTCAGCGTTGCTCATGCAACCCGCATAGGAAACTGAAGACCGTCATCAAGATGAACTCGACAAAATTCGAGAGAAATTTGTATCTAAAAACCGAGAGCTTATCTATTCCAACGAGAGACGTAAAAAGCAGTTTGCTGGATTTGAGTCAGAACTGAGCAATGCGGAATTCGAGTATAGACAGGCAGAGAGAGCCATTGAAGATGAGGAGCGAGAAAATACAACACTCAAGACGCAGAAGCGACAAGTGGAGGGATCGTTAGCTGAATTGGATGCTGCCACAAGAAACAAGCGACTAAAAAAGAAGGTACTTGTAGAGAAAGAGCAGCCATAACGCAGCAGAACCGAGGTATTGACTGTGTGTACAACGTGATAGAGCTTGATGTCTGCATTGACAGCAGCAGAGGAAAAATCAGAGACACTTTCCAACCAAATCGAATCCAAGAGTCGATACATTCATGAATTGCAGAAATCGTTACTAGAGAATGAGAAATTGCGTAGAAAGGATCATGACAAGTTGCAGGAACTCAAGGGCAATATTCGAGTATTTTGTCGAGTGCGACCTGCTGTGAGTAAGTGCCATATAGATAAGGATTTAGAGAGAGAGAAACAGCTCCATTAACGCACTGGAATAGACTCCAAAACAGAACCCAACCTCATCAATGCGCGCTTCTTTGGCGACGATAATGAAAGCATGGAACTCACAGAACAGACATCCTCCACGCTAGGCAAGACCATCACCAAAACACACACATTTACATTTGACCGCGTTTTTTCACCTGAAGCCAGCCAAAAGGATTGTTTTGAAGAGATATCCCAGTTGGTACAATCTGCGCTGGATGGCTTCAATGTATGCATCTTTGCGTATGGACAAACAGGCAGTGGCAAAACGTTTACTATGCAAGGCCCTACTTTTGCGACCGAGGAGACATCGGGTATGATTCCACGTGCCGTACAACAAATTTATGAAGTCGTTCAGCAGTTGAAACAGTTTGGATGGGAGTACAAGATGGAAGGACAATTCCTTGAAATTTACAACGAGACCATCAACGACTTATTAGGGAATTCATCAAACTATGGCAAAATAAAGCATGAGATACATCATGAAAAGAATGGCAAAACAAGTGTGACAGAAATGACGTCTGGTAAGTCAGTTACATGTTACAGAAGTGCTTGTTATTATGGCAATGACTCATGCAGAACAGTTGTGCTGGACTCGCCTTCCAAGGTCAAACTCATGCTGAGAAAAGCAAATCAGAATCGAGCGACTGGAGCGACCAACATGAATGAAAGATCGTCCAGAAGTCATAGTGTGTTTACCCTGCAACTCACTGGCCACAATGCGGCCACTGGGGAGACGACAGCAGGTATCCTCAACTTGATTGATTTAGCGGGGTCAGAGAGATTGTCCATGTCAGGCTCTACGGGTGATCGTTTGCGTGAAACACAAGCCATCAACAAGAGCCTGAGTTGTCTGGGTGATGTGATTCATGCGCTTATCAACAACAAAGAAGGTGGCCATATTCCGTATAGAAACTCTAAATTGACGTGGCTGCTTCGACACTCGCTGGGTGGGAACTGCAAGACATTGATGTTTGTCAATGTGTCTCCATTGATGGAACATTTTGGAGAGAGTCTGTGTTCATTGAGATTTGCCACCAAGGTAAGTGGTACCTGAATTTCCTTTGTCTGGGATATACAGTAACCCATATGTATGAAATGTAGGTCAATTCATGTCAAGTAGGCACTGCAAAGAAAGTGGTTAAATAAAACAGAATTTCATCATTTTGTTTGATTTCAAATCATGATTGAAACACATTAGCTTTCGTAAACAAAAAGGCATGGAATCCACGTGATGAAATTGGCTATTGATATTGTGTATGCTATTGTCCTGATTGTAAGCTGGCTCTATTGGTTCTACCACCTGTATAAAAGATGGCTACTCTTCCTTTTTCTTTTTTTTTTTTTTTTTTTTTTTTTTCATCATTTCTACGACACCCCTTTATTTCCCTTCCATTTACAGAATGACATTGATGATCCAAAACATGGCCATGGATGTTATAAATACCACAACACCACTCTCCAACACCACGACGTTGGATGATACAATCCTGTTTGAAAAAATGAACAGAGAATGCATTCTATTCCCAACTTATGCCAAGCGAGATCCTCAAGGTACTACTACTACAACAACAACAACATGATTGGGCTATACTGGCTTGAAATAGAAGGCTAAATCTCCAAGCTTGATTTAGATCCCTCGCAATGGATTGTAAAGACAAAGGGCTGGGCATTATCGCACAATAGCTCTATTGCCAAACAAAAGATGATGATGGGTAAGCTATGTCTATTTCCCTCCCCCCATGACATTTATTTTTTCCATTCTAAACTATGTGCCATGTTAGGTATTACAAAGAGTGTTGCCGGTAAATCTTCTGCCGATAGTAAATCATCACAAATGTTTGAAGAACGTTTCAGGTATTTCTTGGCCACCAACAAGAGATTCAAGCCATTTTTGATACAAGCGATTGGCATCACAACATTGGAAGATTCACGGCTGGAATTACAAAAGAGGCAAGATGAAAGTCAATTGCAGCAAGCCATGATGAATCATCAAACGCTGTTTCTAAACATGCTCTCCTCTCGTTTCAATCAAATGATGACCACCATCAAAACAAAATCATTCCAGCATGACACAATTTGCTTTCCAATTACACCGCCTACAGACGATGATGACCATGATGTGGAGAACGAACAAGACTTTGACGATGATGCAGATGCAGAAGATTGGCTCACAGTCAATGATTATTTCGCAAACGTGGTATCCAGACCCACCAATCCCATTTCATCCGTATTAGACGGCACCTACAACAATAGTGACCTTGCTGGCATCATGATCACCCCCAACAACCACACGACACAATATACCCAACAAAAGCAAGAATCCCAAGTGAAATTGACAACAAAAAGTTCTGGTTTTTTACAGGGTCAATTTACTGTACCTCATGATAAAATACTAAATTGGGCTCAAGATCAAAATCAATGCGACGCAAGATTAATTCGTATCCAGTCAACCTGCACTGCCGACAAACCCAATAGCAAAAAGTCCTTTTCTCCCAATTATGGCATTGTTAGCTTGATTGAACCCACTGGCATCTCCATCATATCCGATATCGATGATACTATCAAGGACACGCAGATCCTCTCAGGTGCAAGAACTGTACTATCAAAGACATTCTTTGAATTACCACAAGGTGTATCAGGCATGGCGGACGCTTACATGGCTTGGGTAACTATTTGTTCAAACAAACAAACATGGTCTCATACTAACCTCCCAAACTTGTATAGTATACGCAAGGCGCTTCCTTCCATTATGTGTCCAATAGTCCGTTTCAGTTGATGCCCATGTTGGAGCGATTTCTACGAGACTCGCAATTTCCACCTGGTTCCATGCACTTGCGAGATGATGGCAAATTACTGTCTCGTCTCGTCGAAACACCAGGCCAAGCAAAACGTAATGCCATATTAAGAATCCTTGCTGATTTCCCACAACGCCGTTTTGTATTGATTGGGGATTCGGGGGAAATCGATCTAGAAATATACACTCGTATTGCATCAGAGTTCCCTGATCAGATACTCAAAATATACATTCGTGATGTGACAACACCTGATGCCAAAACCATACACCATCTCAAAAAGAAAAAAAAGCTGCAGGAACAACAACGCAGAAGCAGCAGTAGCAGCAGTAACAGCAACACGCTCTCGGCCTTGTTTCATTCCACTCGTCGATCCTTCTCCACACCCATTTCGTCTCGCAACAGCTCATTGACCAGCGAAGAATCCGTGTCTGATCAGCAAAACCAACATCAGCAGAAAAAGAAAAAGTTTAGATCGCCTCTCGGTATGCGTCGAGCTGTAACCACCACATTAGCAGAATACGCTGTAGAGCCTCGTTTGACAGGTCACCATAGAAACACTGTACGCATTGATACCAAACAACACAGCCATGACGGTGAAGATGACGACGATGAAGAGGGGCTACTGGATCCACATTTGCTACAAAAAAAGATATCCACCGTAGAAGCCTGCGTTCAGTTATACCAACGTGTTGAAAAAGCCCGTTTGCAGGTACCCGCTATTGATATCATTCTTTTCCAAGATGCCGAGGTGTTACAAAATGACAGTTCCATCCGAGATGCGCTTTGGGATTTGTGGGATGATCAAAGCAATCATTCATCTTTTTCTCTTGATGAACAAGATGATGAAACCTCTGATGATATAGAATATGAATCGCATCAGAATCATATTTTATCATCTTCGCCAACTTCATTTTAATATACTATATACCAATCTTCTTCATATACAGCATCTTAATTTAATAGATATTTCCTTTCTTGCATTTATATATATATATATATATATATACTACTCAATATACAATAATAATAAAAAAACTGTACAATGTCATAATCTAGTGGATAACACCACTTTCATCTCATGTCATGGTATATAAATCGGAAACAGGAAGGGGGGCAAATATGACCTAATGGGGACTTTCGTAACTACGTATTACCAATAGATGATTCATTGAGGCTTGCTGAATCAGGCTGTAAAAATGAACCATGACTAGATGAGATGTACGAGTTCCACAATACAATGCTTTTTGATTTGATGGGCATTGTAGCCTTAAAGTATAAATGCAAAACGATTAGACACTGATGCTATCTATTATATTCAAAATTGAATTGACTGGATGAACCATTTAGCCTAGTTTGAAATGTAGCAGTTACTTTGAGAAGTGCAGTTTGTAGTAGTCTATCGAACACGATGAGTACAACTTAAAGATGGCTATAGTATCTTAATATTAAAGCATAACTTCTTCAACAACTCTCGACAGTCATTGATATAGGAACATTACTACTTGGTTTCGATGCATACTTTCTCTGGGAAAAGGATGCCTATCAAATGTACTTGCAGCAGTGTTAGAAACGACGTATCGTAGCAGCATCAGAAGTTTTTTGGACCATTGGTATCTGGTTGTTTGTTGTATTGACTTGATGTGGGTGATGTATTATAAATCCCATGAATGGCATGCACAAGCAGTTTAAGTTGCTGTTTTCCACTATAGTACTTGTCGCAAGTTTCACAGTGATTATTTGGATCGCTGATGGAAGGCACTGCAGCTGGGTTGGCAAGTCTGGCAGGTCTCAAACCATGTGCTGTGCGTTTGATAAGCTCTCTTGCTTTTGCATCTAAGTTTACATTCGCTACAACAGTTGTTCACATTGTTTAAATCCGGAAGGCCGGCTTTTGGTACTTTTCTTGGAGATCTCAAGCCGCGAAATACTCCACAATATCGTGTATACTGTGCTCCTAATTTGCAAGCGCGATCGCAAGATAGACAGTATAGATTAGGGTAATTTTTGATATACGCGTTTGACTGAATATTCACGTTGACATGAGCGACAATAGTTATTTGGATGCTTTGGGTCAGGGACGTTATCATTGCATGGTCTCTTTCTTATTATTAGTTTTAGTATCATGTAGTGAACCTTTTTCAAGTGTACTCGACAACCCTTTCTTGATTTAAAACTGACTGTACATGTGTTTCTTTTTAAATATTTGGTACGTGCATTGGATGGTATGTAACCAGAGGACGGCGTTGTATGTACAAACTGAACCCATTTACTGGCTTGGGTATGTCGATTATATGGAGCCTTATTCTCTTCCCTGGATGTAGCTGTAAGCGACGACAAGAATGGATGTTGGCTGCTTATCTCGCAGGCCTGGCCACTTGATGTTTGATAACGAGAAGAGCCTACATTATAATTAAATGATGGTGGTGGCTCGCTATTATCAGCTGGTAATATCGTGTATTGTAATCCTTCGGTTACGTTGTTCATTGTAAGAGGCAGTCGACTCACTAGTAGCTTGTCGAGATGCTGTTGGTAATGCGTCGAATCTGTTGTATGGAGCTTCAAGCCTTTCTCCTCGTGTTGGCTCTCTAGGTGTTGTCACTGTAGATCCAAGCAAGTATGACGAGGCTTGTGCAGAGGTTGGTGAAAAGAATTCTCCAGCTGTTGTGGTCACTGACACTGACACTGTGATGGCATTATTGTTGTGTGAACGCGATCGCAATTCAGACAATACTCGTCTTGGAATCGTTCCAGATGATGATATAAGTGATTTAGATGACTTTGATGATTTAGATGATGCTGCTGAGAATGGCGATCCTAAATGTGAAGGCTATGAAAGATGTATATTGTTAGTTTTGATGCTTATTTTCAAGCAGCTTATTGGCGCAATATTTACCATACTATTCTCTTTAGCCGACTTGGCATAAGCAAGAAACTTTTCTGTAATGCGTTCCTTTAAAGGCTTGCCTTCTGGAGACTACATACAAAGCAAAAGTGTCCTGAGCATAGATTTGATCCGTTCATTGATCTTGGTGTCAAAAAAAATCATACATTTCATCTATTGGGATTGCACTACAACAAATAGTTCAATCGCAACCGTAGTTTCAGTGAGGTGCTTGGTTTAGAAGAATAATCAATGCCAATAGGATACAGTCATTCATTCGTTCCTGATTTGCAATTCACATTCGTATTACATGAGACATTATCCAGTTTATAAATGCAATAACTATGTAGAGGATACCTAAAGGCATTCGATAGCCAAGAAGATGTACCTTTTATTTTAAAATTAAAATGGCTTCTTTTTGACACCATAATATACTCTTGGTAAATCTAGATACGACATTTGGGGGAGAGGGTTTGAGCACCATGAGATTTAAGGGTTATACCATACTTGCAATGTGTTTTCATGTCAATGAAATGTTGCTACTAATAGGTGCTTTGCTGATCTCATAGCTTCCTCACACAATTCTGTTGCAATGTGTATATTTGGGAAGTAAACATTGGCGAGATTGCCAATGCCATTAAACAGACATACATTTGACCGGGTTCAAGATCTCTAATGTGAACATCCAATTTCAGTCAAGACTTTGAAATATGGAGATATTTTCTGCAAATATTCTTCAATCGTAAGTACTCCTCAAGATATCTTTCTCAAGGGATAATCTGTGATAACAGAGACGTAAACAGCCTGATAATAGGTCTGTTTTTGAATATAATGGACTTTTTAGGTCGACAACAATTGTAAACTGCATCTGACGGAATGCAATCGCCGAAATACTAGATACAAGCAATCGTTAATCTATTGGAGTGTGTCTACTGCTCTTGGAATGGCTCTCTACCTTCGCTCTCTTTCAACGCCAACCAATCTACGCAGCGGCGGATTGCACTACCAATGACTTTCGCCCATATCATCAGATCAGAACCATCCATAACCTTGGATCTGACTCTTATGCAATGCTCCAAGTTTGTATCAACAAAAACAGATCATATACGGGCAGACAACATTTGTTTACTACCTCTTAATACTCAGATATACAAGAAACACATCAAAATTTGGATGCATTCGAGAAGTGATTTTTCGTGTTAGAAGTCGTTTTAGACAACCAGAGTAGCGCCAAACGATTGCTTTCATGCAGCACTTACTTACTGATACCTTTGCTCAACCATTTTGGAATTGCCCGAAATCGACTCTAAACCATGAGGGGTACCTCATGTTTTTATCAAAAATCAAACGATCGCATTTTTGACGTTAAAATCAAAGGCTTTTACTATAGTATATATTAAGTCAAAACGTTTCTCTCGATCTAGGGCAACCCCTAAAATCATTTTTGTAAGAACTTGGTATACGAAATCTCGACATTTTGGCCATGAATTACATTTCATATTTTATAGTATTAATCAATAAGTTTATTAAAAACACCTATTACAATTGGAACTATTGGATGCATCTTGAAAAGTACATTAAGAAACCTTAAGGAAGTTTGACCGAGTCATTACGACTTACATAGTCTAATCTGGCAAAATAGGTCGAATCGTGTCCAGGAAACTCAGAAATATGCAAATCAAAATAGAATATCGAGCGGAGAGTCAACGAAATTTTGGCTGCTGCTTTAATCAATGCCATCGACATTAGCAAGGTAATCAATGCTTATAGAGGCTCATAAGGAGTGATTTTTGAGCTAATATGTAGCACATATTAGCTTGGGCGTTTTTTTTAGTATACTTTTTTTTTGCACATTTTAATTGTAACATAATATACTTTTAGTCCCTAGGCACTTTCAGAGTTTCAAAAAGGAAACAAGTTGTTCTAACAAGTATTTTGATAGACTGGTGTTATTAAATATAGAATGCAAGGAAGATAGTATGATTAACGGTAATGTTATGTAGTTTACCACCTACTTTCCATACGCTTCAAGGGCATTTATTACTGTATTGCCTTCATGAGGAAAAGGGCATTGAGTTTGCCAGCTGGCCCCCACCAGCCAAAATTAATTCACACCCAGACTCTTAGTCTGTTCCAGAGTGGCCAAATTCTGATGATCTTCGACTTGATCAAACTATTTTGCTAGATTCGACTATATGAAATGTGATAATCAGCCCGTACTTCCTAATACATTCTTGGAGTACGTTTCAAGGCGTTTCCAATGGTGCCGAGTAAAATAAATGTTTTGACTGAATTTATCGAGCAATTCAAGAAAATATGAAAAGCGGTTTTTGGCCAAAATGTCAAGATTTTGCATATAAAGGCCTCGCAAAAGTGGTTTCAGAGGTTGCTTTGGATCGAGAGAAACATTTTGATTCATGATATACCATAGTAAAAGTCTTCATTATCAAGGTCAAAAAACGCGATCGTTTGATTTTCAATGAAAACCATGAGGGGTATCTCATGCTTTTTGGTCGATTTTTGGCCATGTTTTTTTGGGTCCTAAAAAAAGTTGAGCAAAGATATCAGCAAGTAAATGCTAGATGAGAGCAATTATTTGGGGCTATTTTGACAGCTTGAAACGGCTTCTACCACCAGAAACCACTGCTCAAATGCATCCAAATTTTGCCGTGTTTTGCATATTTTTGAGCATCAACAGGCAATGCACAGAGATTAGCGCAACATCTACTAGTAGCAACCCTTTATTGACGTAAATATACACTGCAGGTACGATACCAAGAGCGCATTTGGTGTCAAAAAATAAGCTGTTCTAGTTTTAAAATAAAGGTTGCATTTTCTTGATTATAGAATGCATTTAGGTATCCTCTACATCTTTATTGCATTCATATATTGCATAATGTCTCATGTAATAAGAATGTGAGCTGCAAATCAGGAACGAATGAATGCAGTTGCGGTTTAACTATTTGTGCTAGTGTCAACCCAAGAAATGCAATGTATGAGTCCTAGCATCAAGGTTAATCAAGGCTAATCAAAGTCAATCAACAGATCAAATTCATGTTCAAGACGTTCTTGCTTTGTATGTATTCCCCCCCCCCCAAAAGGCAATATATTGGAGAGGTCGGACGCGGTGGCTTGCCGATAATCTAATTTAAAGGAGTGGCGTTTCAAGTATCAAGTATATAGAGTCAATACATGTGTGTGTGCTTGGCGTAATGGCTGATCTGAGCACTGAGCTATTGCACAGTATGGGATGCAGACGTCACTACAAAACGCGAAAAATATATGCATTGATATACAACTGTCTATTTTGCTTTAAGCTTTTTCACTGTCTTCTTTACTGTTTCATATCCAAGCTACACACTTGTTTTCTCATTTATCACTCATTAAATCATAAATACAAAACAAAAAAGAATATAAGCTTACATTGAAACACTTTCTCACCATGACAAGCATTGGCGTACTTTTGCAATCAATTGACCGTAATCAAAGAACCATCAAATTCTCAGAATACAAAGGTAAAACTGTTGCCATTGATGGTGATGACTTTCTTCTTGATGGAGCTTCCCGTGCTGCTTTGGAGCCTGTATGGAATCATTCCGCCAATTCGTAAGTATTAATATCTATTCCGTTGATCTTATATTAACAAGATTTCCCTGCAGATATAACGACTATTTGCTGGAATTTACTCAATTGCTTGAAGAAAATGGTGTAACACCTATTGTGGTCTTTGGCGGTCTCACTCTCCCTTTCAAGCAAAGCATGAATTATGAATATCGCAAGTAAGTTTTGGTAGGGCAATCAAGTAACCATATCATTGTCATTGATCATGTATTTGGATTTAGAGCCCGTCAAGCTGCATTAAACAGTGGTAGCCACCTGGGACCAGTAACCATCTCAGAAGACATGGCCATTGCCACTATTACAGTAAGTATTCTCCCCTTTTTTTTTTTGGATGGTTTATATCTTTTACTGACTTTACTCTGCAGAAATTGATGGAAAAGAAGATTAAATGCATTGTAGCACCATGCGAAACTAGTGCTCAACTGACATACTTGGCAAAGACAGGCAAGGTGGATGCTGTCGTCTCTGAGGACCCTGAGCTCTTGGCTTTTGGTTGTCCAAAGTTTATTCACAAGAGTTTTATCTCTGGAGAATATATCGAGTTCTGCATGGATAGAGCATTCAATGACAACAGAAGCAATTTTCGAGCATACGGTGCTGACACTTTTCGACACATCTGTATTTTATCTTTAGCCGGCTGTAATTACCTGCTTAACGCTGAAAGTGCTATCTTCAGAGCATTACTGAGAGTGTATGAAGGCAACAACAACAGCACTGATCAAGTATTACGTGTCTTGCAGAAGCTATTCAAGGAAAAACTCCTTCTGGACTATCTCAAAAACTTTCACATGACAGATCTTGGTTTCACGTATCAATGGGTCTACGATATGGACAAAAAGAACTACGTGCGCCTGAATCCACTTCCACCCAATTGTTCGGAGGAAGATGTCAAGTTGCTGGGCAAAACCCCAACCGTACAAGACTCCATCAAGTTCATTGTCAACGAGATCGCCCCCAAGAGCAAGCCTTTAAATTTAAAAGAGCGTATCACAGAAAAGTTTCTCGCTTACGCTAAATCAGTAAAAGAGAATATTATGGTAGGTGTTGCGCCAACAAGCTGCTTAAAAGTGCCCACCAAACTAACGGCGTACATCTTTTGTAGCCTTCACATTTAGGAACACCATTCTCAGCGGCAGCACCCAAATCACAAAAGTCACCTAAATCATCTACATCATCAGCATCTAGAATGGGACCCAAACGAGTGCTTTCTGAATTGAGTAATGTTACCACAGTATCAGTGTCAGTGGCCACAACAGCTGGAGAGTTCTTTGCATCAACCTCTGCGCAAGCCTCATCACACTTGCCTAGACCCACAGTGGCAACACCTAAAGAGTCAACTGCTGCATGTCCTTCATTCTCACTACCTCCTTCAGTTGAACAACCTTTGATGCCTTTAACTGAAGCAAGCACAACTTCAACTCATGACGATCCCATCTCTCCTCCTCATGTCCCACCAACGAAAGATGAGATGCCTGACACTACCACAGTATCTATCAACAATATCAACGCAAGCGTTTCTAAAGTATCGCAGGACACAAATCAAACATCAAGTGGCCAAACATGCGAGAGAAACAACCCATCTCCACCCTTGTCGCCACCTACAGCTACACCCATCAAAGAGAATACGGCTTCATATAATCAACATACCGGGGCCAAGCCCTTGGCTGACAAATCGGCTCAACCTGTGAAAATAACACCACCACCATCTCATTATATACCAAACATTGCACATATCAACCCCTCTACAAACAATATAGCTACATCCATCAAACAGACAGCAATCCCTACTCAACAAGACACCCTAGCCAGGCCCAATGCCAGTGAATTATCTCAAGCTGTGAACATGACGCCATCATCTGATCACGTATCTTACAATGCTCACGTTAACTTTTCAACGAGCAATACAACTATAGCGGCAACTATAACGGCCATCAAGCTATCTCAAAATGCGTCAAATGGTGGTGGAGAGGAGAACGGTAACAATAATAGCAGCAAATACGATATGCGTGATCCCTATTACAACAATCCAAACTACTTTATCCCAACAAATATGGCGTCAAGGTCTAATAACGAGAAATCCAAGAAAAGATCGTTTGATCAGACAGAGCATAGTGTTTCCACGATGCAAGGCAACAGTCGCAAAAAGCACCATCCTCGTTGAATCTACGTATAAAGTCAAGGTTCAATTGATTAATGAATAAGAAATAATCATAGCTACAATAGTTCAGTATAGCCAAATATTACTTATGATTCTTGAAATTAAATAAATGAGTATTCATAGTTTTTTTTTTTTTATGTTTTTATTATTATTATTATTATTATTATTATTATTATTATTATTTGCTTAGATTGTCCATTTTCAGCAAAATCTTACTGCAGACATGTTTCGCAGCCCATGAATCATCAATATCCAGACTAACGTTATTAAATATAGAATGCAAGGAAAATAGTATGGTTAACGATAATGTTATGTAATTTACCACCTACTTTCCATACGCTTCAAAATATCAAGTTGAACAGCTAATAACTAGCCAATCAACGGTGTCCTTTGCTATAACCAAATCAATATTTTTTATGCAGCATTTACGTTATTATAAGACTTCTGGTTCACTACATCCTCCGTACGAGTCGCATTTTCTGGCGGCAGAACAGTGATACCCATTCGCGGATGCTGCTCTTGAGATGGCGACACAGAGCTGACCATGCGTAAACACAGGACTTTTATGAGATCTACAGCGATTTGAGAGATTATCATTGCAAAAGACACCTATATAGGGAAAAACTTGCAATAAAACCAAATAAAAAAGAATTCAAGCTAATCGATTGTTCTTTCAAATTCATGATCCCCAATTAATCAGCATCGCAATCATCATTGCCATCAACAGAAAGACATTTAGGTCAGCCAGCAGCAATGCCGCCGCCAAAATTCATTCAAACTCCATTTATTTTTTTCTGCTTAAGATTGGACGGATTTTGTCTTTTTACGACTTCTTTAATCTATTTTAAAAGCATTTTGGACATAGTTCGACCTATTCTGGCAAACTTTTTGTGAATCTATTCTGCTCATCCTTTAAACGTTTTTGGATCGATCTATTTTGCAATCTATTTTGTATCCTATCATCTTTTGAATATGTCTGACACTAGTCATATTCATCATTCTCCCTCTCAACCCGACGCTGAGACCCCTCTGCTGTGGACTCATGTAGTCGGCTCAAAACGCAAAGGCAACAGCAAGAAACAGCAATCCATTGCTTCTTTCAATCCTACGCTCATCCAACGACCAGTTACGGAGGCAGAGGCATCTCAACAGGCCATCAATGGAGAGGCCTCTTCAGGACCTATGGCTGTCATACGTCCATTCCTCAAGGGTATCGAGGAGGATTCGGTTTTCATCGATCTGACACCTGTCAAAGATCGTAATCTATTGAACAAGGCCCTTCTCAAGTTCAATGAAGCTACAACCAACTCTGAACTTTATGAAGACTTTCTTGGTTACCGTAGCAAACCAAGACATTACCTTGGCCATGCTTTTCTCGAGACAATGTGGCTGCCTGAGTGTGTAGGACGCACCACACTCATCAACGACGGCATTACCCTGGAAGATGGTACCTATTTGAGGGGCTTTCCATCCTACCCTGGCGATGCCACCATTGTCAAGTTGACATTACAGAATCTCCCTTTCTTGCCAGCTTTGCAACTCAAGGAGGAAATGGCGACTCGTCTCTCCCGATATGGTGATGTCCTGGATCATGGCATCTCAAGAACTAATGGCATCTTCCAAGGTGAAGGTTATGCTACGCTTAACCTTACTGTGCCTTCCTCCCCTGATTATGCCTGTGATGAATTGCACCCCGAAGACAAGCCCTGCCCTGGTCATCGACACCTGGAGAAACTCAGCCGAGTGATGATCTGGGATCCTCGTTCAGCCGATCAGCGAATGGTTCTGCTGCAATGGGACAAGATGCCCAACTTTTGCCGTATCTGTCATAGTGCCGATCATTGTAGGGCGGATTGCCCTGAGTACAAGAAGTGGATCCAGTGCTACCACTGTGATGAATATGGTCATGTGGAGTACAACTGTCCCCGTAATACAAGTCCAAACAAAGTCCGTGCGGTAGACAGTAAGGCTGCTTCGAAGCCCCGAAAAGTGTCTCAGGAGGCAAAGAGCGGTACATCATCTGGTAAGAAGAAAGCCGCTCCCAAGGTCTCCAAAGCTCCTCCAGTAGCTGCTGGTGCTGGTGCTGGTTCTGGTACTCCTGGTGGTGATACTGCTGGTGGTGGGTCTCCCGGTGGTGGTGATTCTGGTGTTGTTCCAGGTAACAATCAAGGTGATGGCCAAGGTGGTGCCCAAGATGTGGTCCACAGCGGCGTACAAGGTGGTGCTGATAGCCAAACCATTGCTCAAAAGCAAGGTGCTGATAGGGATGCCGACATGGACGAGCTCCCTCTGGCTCAAGACTCTGACAATACCACTGGTACTGAGTCTACTGATACTGAAATGGGTGAATCTCCTGCCAATCCTACTAGTGCATCCGAGAATGCGCTGGATCACCCAGTGAAGAAAATAGGTAAATTTGATGGTGCGGATGATTTTACTTCTGCCAAGCAACAGGCTGCAGTTACAGCAGCAGCACAGGGACAACAACAAGGCTTGACAGGCCCACCCTCACCATCTCAACATTAATATGATGAATTTACAACATACAGTGAAAATTGCCACCCTCAATTGCCGTGGCCTCAAAAAAATAGATAACCCAAAAAAAAGACAACAATTTATTAGATACCTTAGAACACTAGGCTATGATATCTTAGTGTTCCAAGAAACACATGCAACAGACTCCACTATTATAGACATGCTCAATACACAATTCAACACCAAGTCGAGTCTTTGGACTCCACATTGCGGCATTATATCACTTAACACCAATTATACACTTCAACACATCTCAGAAGGCATTGATGGCGGTCGTTTTATTTTGGCCTCCCTTCACCTTACTCGAGATGTACAACTTTTAGCAACAACACCACCAATAGCAACTCTACTCAACATTTACGGTCGAGCGTCAGCTCACACCGAACGCACAGCATTTTATTCAGAATTACTTGATATACCAATTGTCAAGGACACTATCACTAATACAACAAACACTATCTTTATAATGGGCGATTTCAACTATCAATACAAGGATCGGCGAACTGATGGCTCTCTCATCAGTGCACCTGTGATATGGACTGATCTTTTGGATGATTATTACATTGATGTATTTGGGGATGACAAGCACAACACCTGGCATAGTGGCAGAAATGCTGGGATTTTGGATTATATCTTTTGTAGCTCCAATGCTCATCACCTTGTAACTAGTACTAGTCAACAATACCTCTCTCCGGAGTGGACTGATCATGAGCTTTTGGGGTTCTCCTATCAATTTCAAGATTCCAATGGTCGTGGCCCTGGTGTCTGGAAGGCTAATCCCTACTTGGCTCGCAACAAAGATTTTCGCAAGGCACTGGCGGAATTCCTCATTGGCAGTGAGGAACGAAGAGCAGGTATCAAGCGGTTTACATCTCCCCAACAACAATGGGATTGGATCAAAGCAGAGGTCAAGTTATTCATCAAGCAGTATCAAATTGAGGATTTGAACTGGAGGAAGAAACAACTACATCGACTGCTTTCAAAGAGGAACAAGATGATGAGACATAAGAAGCATCGAGGATTGATATTTCAGGGATTGGACTCCATCAACCAGCAAATTCAGTCCCTGCAGCACTCAATTGCAGAAATAGAAATCTTGAAGGCAGGCAAGTTCTATCGTGAACATGGTGAGAAATCACCCGGATTCCTCAAGCGCTCTGCGGTGTCTCGAGAGAACCGTCGGTCCATTGTGGCGCTGCGAGACCCCTCTACGGGTTCAATGTGTCAGGCACAGGATGGCATATCTGCCATTGCAACTGATTTTTACACTGCATTATTCACACCAGAGGCTCTAGATTCAACAGCACTCAGTACCGTGATTCGAAGCATCCCTCAGCACTTAAAGATCAGCAGCGAACAACAGGAGGAACTGATGTTGCCGATTGATGTAGACGAGCTCTTGGCCGACAGCAAACACACTCGACGCCTTAGCAGCCCTGGCCCGGATGGCTTGCCATATGAGATTTTGTACCTGATCATGAAATTCCCACCATTTCATTCACTCATCAACCTAGTCTACAATGAAGCACTGACGAAGGGTAAGTTTCCGCCATCTTGGAACGAATCTGTCATGTGTTTGCTCTACAAGAAGGGTGATCCGGCTGAAATGAAGAACTACCGTCCTCTGTCTCTGGCCAATTCGGATTACAAGCTGTTCACTCGCAACATCAATCGTCGTATCATGGCTGTCTCTTCTCAATTGATTAGTCGCCATCAGCTTGGATTTATTCCTGGACGCTTTATTGCTGAAAATGGCATGATCTGTCAACTGATCATGGAAGATGCTCAAAGGAAATGGACAATTGCGGAACAACAGGATGACGACCCCACCTTTCGCAACTTGGATGCAGATATCGGTCTTTTGTTGGATCAAGAAAAGGCCTACGATCGTGTGAATTTGGACTATCTCAAAAAAGTCTTGACAAAGTTTGGGTTTCCTCGTCCCCTCATCAAGTGCATATACAAACTGATGGGCGACAATCTCATACGAATTAATCTGAATGGCCATATGTCAACAGAGGTTGCCAAGCTGCGTGGACTCAAGCAAGGAGATCCTCTCTCGCCTATCCTGTACAACCTGGCCTTCGAACCCTTTTTACTGGCAATCTTGCATGATCGTCAATTTCACGGATACACGATGGGTACTGCTACTACCAAGTTATTGTGTTATGCGGACGATGCTTTGGTATTTGTCCATGACGCACAGGACCTGTCTCGCTTACAACTTCATATGTCTCGCTATTGTGCTGCTTCCAACGCCAAATTCAACTATGACAAGGTGCAAGCCTTTTCGGTGTCTGGTCGGGATACATGGGACATTTGGCAAGTTCCGTTATCGCATGCCCACATCACCCATCTGCATTCTGTGGAAGATGATGAACCTTTGATATATCTTGGATTTCCTCTCGTACAAAGCAGGATCCAGCGGGTCAACTTTATGGGTGCACTGACAACCAAGATCAAGACGGCCATCCAGATCCACTCTGTCCGATCCCTGTCAGTTGTTGGAAAGGCCACTGTGCTGAATTCTCTGCTTCTGTCCAAGTTATGGTACGTTCTACGTGTTACTCCTCTCACCCAGCCCGATGTCAAGCAGCTGCGGTCACTGGCAATTCTTTTCTTGAGAAAGAACATTTTCCCTGTCATTCCTTGGAAAACATGGATTCTCCCAAAAGACAAAGGTGGACTGGGTGTTGTCGACATCCAAACTCAAGCTTCGGCTCTGTATTTTCGTTGGCTACATCCGTTGCTGGTATATGATCAATCTGTCATTGATGCCCACCCGGTGTCCTACCTTCTCAGTTACCATCTACGCAACATGAATGGATACCAGTATCACCATATTCCGCTCCTCTTCCCCTTTGCTCGTCGCAATCAGGGTTTGAAAACACAGCGCACGGGAACTGTCGATATGTTATATCGTGCAGTCGACTATCTTCCCAAGTCGTATGAAGCTGCTCGGATCAATACTGCTACTGCCATGGCTCTCCCACTACAGGCTGCCTTCTATGTCCCTCCATCCTCTTCACTGGTGGTTCCTCGTCGAGTCAAAGCGATGATGGTTTCTGATGTGTTTCAATATGATGCTCGGCTCAACTTTGTTCATTGGAAAGATACTCGTGACCCTTCCCTCCTCAATTGGAAACGTGCTCCTTCTACAGTGTTCAAAGGTCTTGCGTCTGCCCAGCTGAAATTTCAACCCTACTTCCATCCAGTGTGTAGTCCTGCTCCCCTGGTTGATTCTGATGTCTCCTTTGCGCCTCTAGTGCATCAATTTTGTCTACACGATGGCCAACCCCTTGGAAATGCTCAGGCTTCGGCCAAAACATTTCGTCTGTCCGTGCTGTCGTCGATGGAACAACCCTTGGCCTTGCAGAATGTCTCAGCTTCTCATTGGAAATTCTTTTGGTCCCTGTCTCTTACCTACATTCAACGTAATGTGATATACCGGCTCATCACAGGCTGTATCCCTTCTCGAAGCAGGTTACACTACATGATGCCTGGAGTCTTCGAGTCTCACAATTGTTCTGTCTGCTTGTCTCCCAATGAAACTGCCAGCCACCTGCTCTTTGACTGTCCATCCAAAGAAAAGGTATGGCTAGGCGTCATTTTTGAATTCCTATGGCCCACGACGTCCATCACTGACATCAAAGAGGCTCTTCTGTCCCTGGACTTTTCGGATATCTGGTACTCCCAAGTCAAAGGCATCCATCCTTACAGAATCCTACTTATCACCCTGTCTCAAATATGGCTAGCCCATATGCGCTTTGTTTTTGACAACATCATCCTTGTCCCTGAGGCGATTCTGGTGAATGTCCGCTCCACTGTTCGCCAGACAGTGGATGAGGATCAAATCCATTCCCTCTTGTAGTTTTGATAGTTTCGATAGTTCTGCTTAGTTTAGTTTAGTTAATATTTCACCTTCTTTTTATTATCTCTTTTTTAATTGCACCCGCCTCTTCACTTCGACCCAGTACTCCTAGTGTACGCGGCTCAATCAATAAACAAAATTTAAAAAAAAAAAAAATCTATTTTAAGGTATTTGACTATATAAACTGTGATGATCACCCTACGCTTCCTAATACACTCTTGGAGTACTTTTCAAGGCGCTTCCAATAATGCCAAGTAAGATACATGTTTTAACTGAACTTAATAAGCAATCCCAAAAGATCTGGGACAAGGTTTTTGGCCAAAATGTCGAAATTTTGCATATGAACACCTCATAAAAGTAGTTTCAGAGGTGGCTTTGGATCGAGAGAAACATTTTGATCCAATATATACCATAGTAAAAGTCTTCATTTTCAAGGTAAAAAATGTGATCGTTTGATTTTTGATGAAAACCATGAGGTACCCCTCATGGTTTTTGGTCGATTTGGCCATGTTTTTTTTTGGCCGAAAAAGTTGAGCAAAGATGTCAGGAAGTTACTACTACTCAAGTACAATTGTTTGGCGTCATTCCGGTGACTCATAAAGATCTACATGCCAAGATATGAAGGCTTGAAAGCTGTCAAATTTGGTTATGTATTGCTTTATAGAGTTTATTTACACGGCATAAATCACATCTTTGGTAGTTGGAACTTATTAGAAAGGCAGTTCTGTAGCTTGCGCAATTTTTAATTCGAATAAGAGGCATATTGATTTTGGTAAAGCTAATTCATGCAAATCTTGTTGCGTTATGTTGCCGGTAAGCTTATTAGCAATGGAAATAAAAACTCGAATTTGCTGCTTATTAGATACTATGGTTTTGAACCTTCGCTTCGCTGCAATCAAGCCCTCATATAAATCAATGTTACCAAGTGTTGGATTAGACGCCTGATTACCATGGCTTTGCACTTTTGATTTGCTACGGTATAACCCCCTATAACTCAATGCTACCCAATGTTGGATTAGATGCTTAGTTGTCATAGGCTTTACACCTTTGCTTCGCTATGGTAAACCTCCCCTATAAATCAATGTTATCCAGTGTTGAATTAGATGCATTATTATGTTCT